GCTAAGCTTCGGAAATATATATCTCTATTACTGAATTAATAAATTCCCCTCAACTCTATCAATTGGCTAGGTATCATATAAAAAGCATTAGGCTACGAGGAAAAGTTCCCGTAGACAAAGGGTTGCCGCAATATCCAATTATAATTTATTAGATTTACTATGTGTACTAGACTATGTAGCTCGCCTATGAAATACGTTACTACGTATTATAATTTCTTCTCAATATAGATGAAGATTTTAACCGCCATATAAATCGAGGTATCTCCGTACTCTTGGGTGGTCCATAAGTCCCAAAAACACATAGCTTTCATATCTACATACTAACGCACTTGTAGAATAAACTGCACCTAGGAAGGCTACCTTGCCTAGTTGGTGTATTCCATATACGGGATGTACAATTAGATATCGCAACAACGGTTATCTACACGACCATATCCTTGTAGCATAGTGCTTCATATATGATATGTAGCTAATATGTAGAGGCCAAGGAAATTTATTAAAGCAGTGGTACACGTTCTACTAGCGTACGTAGGTCCAAAAAAATGAAGCTTTTGACTTCCATACAAATTCAGGCATCTCCAAAAGTGAACTTCCAAACCGGCCAAAAATATGGAGATGTCTGAATTTATATTGAAGTCAAAAGCTTAGGTTGATGTATTAAAGATTTACGGTGCATTGTATTAGAGTGGTGTATAAAGCGGTACTAATTCAGGTAAATTCAGGTATCCAGGATCAACCCCCCCCCCAAGAGGGGTTTGACCCCTGGCCACACCATACAAAAGACATATTAACTAAAACCCTTATATCTCAACCATAATACCACCTGGGTAGAAAATAAAGCTACATTTTGATGTCCAGCCCTCCGTTATATGTATCAAAGAGGGATTAATTAGTTTATGAATAAGTAGTGTTTAGGGTAGTAGTTAAGGAGGAAGTTCTTATAATCTTGTATGTACGTATATAGTAAGTAGGCAGGGGTTTTTAATCGACTTTAAGATAGCAAATAATATCATTTTTTTTAAAAAAATAGAGAATTAACTTATACTAATTCTTTAAGATCAAGTTATATTCCTGATATTAAACGTTGTGGTCGCGATACAAGGGTTTTTACTTAATATACCTTATGTATGGGCATCCCATACAAAAAGCATTTTTATGTTTTGTATGGTGCGGCCCCAAACCCCTTTCGGGGTTGAGGCGAAAGCGCAGGGCCGGGTACAGCTTTGTATATTGGATAAAGAACAAGCCTATCAAATAAGGACTTAATTATCTTTGTTGCTTCAGCAAAAAAAATTGCGTGAGCGACGCAGGGATCGAACCTGCAATCTTCTGAGAATGTAGTTATCGAGGATAACTCAACCGAAATCAGACGCCTTACCATTAGGCCAGCCGCCCTTGCTTATGTACAACCTTCATTGATGTGACTATGAACTTACTGCCCTTGCTCAAAACAACTTCAAGGAATTTCATAGCTATTATGGTAGCGACATGTGCTCACTATTTACTACCTTTGTCTATTCTCTCTTATCTGCGGCGTTATAATTCAAGTATAGAAGTTTCAAGTAGGCAGATAGTTACAGGTTGACAACAAAAACCCCTACACCTCTCCGAATTCACTCCTAGTTCCCGTTCCCTGTTGTATGTAGCGCTCGGTAAAGCCCAACGAGCAGTGAGCCACGGGCCTGGGCTTCGAAGGCCAACCTAGCCTATCTCAGCGCTAACAAATCGGCCTTTATAATCGCTATATCACGACTTTCAACTGGGCGTATAAAGTTCAAATTTGAAAATCTAGGCTCATACTAGCTATATGTAGATATTTTTAATTTTGAACCAAATCCTATAAGCAAGTGTCGAGGTATCGCGGAAAAGGTAAAAGTTCATATTTTAATATCAGATCACATATCTGTCTATGGTTTATACAGCAGTACGATCATTTTCTAGTAGCGCCACGATTTTTTTAGAATTTCTAATGAACGCATCTTTTTCACTTTTTCAGACCTGGAAGTAGTGATTGATTCTGGATCATTTAAACCAGTAAAATATTACCTTTATGATAAGGTTTATAAACGGGAATAAAACGAAGGGTAATTTTAAATCCCCGAAAAGAGGGTTAAATTTTATGTCTGTACTGTTTGGAGCCTATTTTAGAACCTATTATCCTATAATGGGCTTCTACCTTAGTCCTATAGCCCATCGGTAGGGCCGAGACCGAACCCATTTGCGGGTAGGGCCCAAATTAGTCTTTGGGCCTTGTGGGCTCTGCAGCTGTTTAGTTGTTTGGTGTGACTGTGTATTGCGAGTGTTGGATCATCCAGTACGCTAGAGAGCATAAAACTTGGAGTGTTTCCCTTTTGACTATGTAGTTAGTTAGATTCCACCTAGTTTGGGGTCTTCAGGTAGCATGTGATATTTGAGTTTTAGATCTTCCACGAATCTTAGAGCCATAGAAATAATATATTAATACTATTCAATCTCTTTGCACTCGGTCGAGGCTAGATCTACTGATGTCATTCCACAAGTATAAATACATATATTCCTCATTGATCTATATGAAGAATCAGAAGAAGTCAAATGAGCAGCGATAGCATAGAGTGCTAGATTCTCCTATACTCTGTTGACCAAAAGCAGTCCCAACTGAAAGGAAATTCTCTGAAAAAACATGATGTATCCTGTTTATAGGAATGGGTAAGAAAGGTGTTTATCTGAATCAATTCCGCTAATCTGGAATCTTATATTTTTCTAGGTGGCATACGAGGATCATATGGCGTCTTTTAGGTACCGGCAAGCCTAAAGAACAAATTGAGCGTCTGGACTCAGTGTATACTCGGAAGGGATTTCCCGGGAATGCAGACGCAATAATTCCTTCAAGGCTGATTGTTCCGGGAAGCGAAGAAATTCGACATGAATATCCTTTAAAATTTGAGTTTCAAAGCTGCTAATGGGGGGAGGGTCTTGCAACATGCTCGAAGTATTGTGATTTCGATATGATTGGTTGTGATAGCCTGGGGCAACCCGCTATTTAAATATCTGTGCTCTTGGATCTCAAATAATTCCTATAATCCTTTTACAGATTTTCTTATGGAAGATCAAGGAAGAACAGTAGTTAAGAGTTTAATTGATCAAATTATCTAGATTTATGCATGCTAAACAGCTAAAAATGTCTAGTGTGCCAACCTTCACTAAATCATTGTTCTAATATAAACATGGCCTTAAGTTATCATTAAAATTGTAATGAGATGGTTTGAAGACAATCTCGGAGGCTGACGGCATGGATCTGCTATGCCATGTTTTAGGGAAGCTAATGAAGTCTTTGATATGACTGATCCACGCTTGGTTTAACCTACTATACACTGGCGATCTTGAGACCTAGAATGGGATGGAATAGAAGCATTTTTCAATCCCATCAAGCTATTTTGCTCTACAGAGTGGGCGGGGAGGTGTTGGTGGGTATGGTATAATACGGATAGTCGGCGGCTTATGCGGCCTTGTGATGTATGTAACAGACAAAGACCCTAGCGCCTAAAGGGTGCGATATATAGTTAGACACCAACTACAAATTCGTACTTCGCAACGAAATCTAAACTCGGTTGGTAGATATTTAGGGGTAGAAATTTCCCCCACTAAGTTTTCAAGGTCATTACGCCTTACCGGCAAAAAGAGTGGCCCAAAAAGAAGGTCGTGCCCGGGATCGAACCAGGATTGCTGGTATCAGAAACCAGAGTGATGGCCATTACACTACACAACCAATTTTTTTCTTAACCATTGGTAGGGTGATACATGACCCTAGGACACAAAACAGGTGATACATAGACATAATCCCGAGTACACATATTTATAGTTCGAGAAGAAGTCTACGGGAGTCGGTTGACGGATCTTCGAGCCAGGAACAGAAATCGAAGCCATGTCCGCGAAAAAAAGATAGCCCCCACTATTTTTTCTTTCCTCCTACCGGGGTGCTTTTCCCGCCATCATGCATTGCACGCAAAAAGAAAGGTCCTGCCCGGGATCGAACCGGGATTGCTGGTATCAGAAACCAGAGTGATGACCATTACACTACAGAACCAATTTTTTTGATGCATGGGAATCCTTATATTGAATTGAATATCTTCATATTCCATCAAGGCTGGTTCGATTGTGGGTAGGGAAGGTGACGAAGACAACCTTCAGTTTTTTGATATGTGCCGCTGAGCGGTCGAGATAAGATAAGCTTATACCACGTGTCGTACCGGTCAAGTTGAGTCAGCTGACCTTGGGAACTCCGACCTGGAAAGTGGCAGAATATCCTGGGATAGATTCATGCCCGAGAAGGCAGTAACGCAGAAATCACCCCCAGTGGTTAGCTGTAGTGAGATCCCCTATAAAAAAAAATAATGTAAATAAGTTCAATAACCCAGTGCAATTATCGGGTTTTCATCTTGTTTGGTTTTTGTATTGGGTGATCCTTTTATGTTGTATACTCTCTCCCGTGCGCTTCCTTGCCATCTATGTGAGTACATGCTATTGCCACTCTGTCTGACTTGTATACACTGTTGTTTGGGGTTGCTATTGATTTATGTGCTTTTGTGTCTACATAGATATGTATGCAAGTACGATTCTAGAGATATAGGAATTCTGACATTGGGTGTGATCCGAATATATATATTTTGGATATAGATAGACAGCAATCAACCGTAATAATCAAATCACGCATGTTTATCCAATACAATGTAACCAATAAATATGCCCATCATGACACGAGCACACGATACACAAACCCTAAAGGAGCACGAAGAGAGTTGAATGCGAGACTCTGAGAAGTATCCGGCATGCTTGGAAATCCGTAGAGATAATAATCTTCGCAGTCAAAATGTATGACACAAGGTATTGGAGTCCCCCCAATCCTTGTGACTAGTGAGAACCAGATAAGGCAGTCATAGCTTTCTCTATAGTTCAACTGTTGGCTTTTCTATCACTCTTAACGTTAACTTTAGCCTCAAGTAATTTTTAAATATCATCTTGAAATGTACTTAGGTTGTCATCCCGAACATGACATCATCCCAGATGGGACGATAGCTCAGTTGGGAGAGCGTGCGATTGAAGTTCGCAAGGTCGCTGGTTCGATCCCGGCTCGTCCCATTACTTTTTGCATTTTTTTGACCTACCTACTTACTACATTCACTTGGGGAGACAGGAAGAATGATGACGGATTGATTAATAATGAATCAATTGGTTGGTGTGTAATGAGTGGTGGTCCCAATTGGTTACGGGTTCTTTTCTTGTAAGGATATTTATTATACCCGCAACTTTTGTTTATATGGATTTGTCCTTGGAAATATCGTTGATGTATTATTTATGTAAGATACTCTTATTTTAAAAAAGATGAGAAAAACAAGCAATTGTTGAATAAGTAATGGGGGTTTTTTTTGTATGGTTTTGTAGGTAGTAACAAGAATAGTCGCCCGCTCATGCCATATCTTTTTTTGTATGTTCTTTTTGGATCTCTTTTTTATGTGTATATGAAGGTGGTAAAAAGCATGAACTCCGCAAGATATTTTTCTATTTATAACATTTGATGAATTAGACAATAGTTACTTGTAGCTACATAACCATTTCCAGAAACCGCATTCCTTGTAGGGGGACTTTGTTTAGATTCATAGTTCCTAACAATCACTCGATCTACATCCCAAATGGGACGATAGCTCAGTTGGGAGAGCGTGCGATTGAAGTTCGCAAGGTCGCTGGTTCGATCCCGGCTCGTCCCATTATTTTTTGTATTTTTGCCCCCCTCCCCACCGCTACCCGGCTCAAGCATATGAGCCCAGGTCGGGACGAGTCTAGAATACTGCAAAGCTAGCCAGTCCAAAGCAAATTTCCTGACATAGGTGCTACCTACTGCTTAGGTAGGGTGGGTGTAAGTACGTAGCACCCCTTTTTTTTAAATTGGAAAAAAATACCTCTGGCAAACGTATGTACACTTACAGAGTTACCTGGGATCAAAATCCAAGGCCCTATTAGCGTTTGAGGTTATCTGTCGAAAAGTCGTCTGTAAATCTTGAACCCTTTCCGCCCTCCCTGCTGTGTAGACTATCTCAAGTACCTAGGTATATATCTCAAGAATGTTGAACAAATATAGGTAGGACTATACTGCACGTAACAAATGGGATAACCTCTTGCAAATGTGATATTAGGAGGTATCAAGAATAAATTGTAGAAACGTCTAATCTGTTACTTAGAATGGAAGACTGGAAGGCTATGTCTATGAGCTTCACTACTATGTACTGTCGATCTAAAAACCCTTCGTTGATATTAAATTCGAATTTGTAATGGAATCAGAAATAAACAGTGATGATGTTAGTTTCTACTAGATTCTATTAAACGAAAGTAGCCTAGATTGAAATGCTTTCCTACGATATAACACAATGTATGATATAGCAGATCTCAAATCGTATCGAAGGCGCTAATCTCGATTGCGTAGGAGTTCACTCCTGGCAAGCCAGAATGTATACCGAGTTAGGGTTAGCGTTGAAATCCTGGATTCTCAGAATTTAGTCCGGTTCTCAATAGAGAAGGGGAAAAGACATCTAGATAGACTACCAAAACGATATAACAAGGCTACACGGGCTATTCTTGTGGCATTCCAAGATTATAGTGAGTAATTGATATGCTTTCTAGAAAATGCGACCGTAGACCTTCTGTACGGTAGCCCTATCTAAAAGGTAATTATAGCAAGAAATCCTCACCGAACTATGGAGTATGTAGACTCGTGAGAACCCAAATCCAGGTTGTGCTGGTCCGAGCACCCAAACAATTGTAGTCAGATTTATCATGCCGACTTAGGCCTCAATCTGCATCCCAAATGGGACGATAGCTCAGTTGGGAGAGCGTGCGATTGAAGTTCGCAAGGTCGCTGGTTCGATCCCGGCTCGTCCCATTATTTTTTGTTTTTTTCCCTGGCCAGTCAGTCTCGTTGGGATATCATGAAGTGGGGCGATAGATAGCTCAATTGAGAGAGCGTCCATGGGTGGTCAGGCAGTGGAAATTTACTCCAATCACATACATCTTGCCCGGCTCGCCCCATCTTCTCTTTTTTTGTCTTAAGCGCCTTTCCAAACTAGACAGACCTTCTTACATTATTATGCCTGGGATGTAGTACCTAATCACAGTTGGTTGAGACTGATTTTGTTAAGTCACTGTTGTAATAGGGTAATTGTTCCTAGACGGAGGACGTAACGTGCTCTACATCCAGTCCCCAATTCTGCGGGAGGTAGTGTAAATAATTATTCCTTTATAATGGCGAAAGACCGCTTTTGACACTCTTAGCCCCTTAAGACCATGGCTGCTAGAGAGTTTATGTGCCAATGACTATCTATCTATATATGAAAGGAGAGAAATACCTATCTGACTAGAAGAACCTGGGAAGCCCTTAGAGAGCTAGCCAATAAATATACAGAAAGACCTAGATAGTCGTGTTCCTAACAAAGGAAGAATTCGCAGGGCGTTGATATGTGGTTATGTGGTTATGTCATTATAATAGTTGGGTAGAAGGAGGAGGAAGGAAGATAATGGTAGCAAGTCCGATATCCACCGGCTTGACAGGACTACATATACTAGCTCTATGGATGTGCCCCTAGAGGACGGCCTTTGAAGGAGCAAATATGCCAGAAACTCTGTTGAGGGAAGAGATAAAGATGATATCCCCGGAAGAAGTTTCACTGCTAGGCTGGTTTAGTATGCTTCATCCAGATATTTGTGCCTCGTGGCTATCTCAGGTGTTGTATGGTCCGTCAATGGTTTCCTCAAGTGCGAATAACAAGCGTCTGCATCAGTCTTCGCGTGATGGGTGGGGTTGATTCAAAACAGGTTGTGTATCACAGAATGACTCGACTGGGCAATGTAAGTTGTGGTTTGAAGTGAGCTAATTGGGATTTAACATCAAAATCTCAGAATTGAGAGCCCTCAGGTCAAACCTACAAACCAAGCTGGTATTTGAGAATTGAGTTTTCAAAGGACCATGATTAATTCTGACTGGAATGAGGGAGAATCCTTAGTCTTTGCAGTTAGCTGGCAGTTGGAAGACCACACACCCACTTTGATCGGTCTAGTTGCTCTGGGTAGGTGGGGCAATTTGTGGCTTCAAAAACATAATTCATGACCAAACAACGAGACTTACTGGTGCTTACTCTTCCAATGTGACGCATCACTCATTCCATTGCATGAGACAGACTGAGTGCTGGATGATGGATGGCATCTTAATACGGCCAATCGGGCGAATAGCGAAGGATTGCGTCGGTGGGACCGCGGTATTTATTTAGTGTGATAAACCTTTCCTTCATATTCGCGGGCTTCAATTATTCGATCGCTACTGGAGTCAGAGCAGTAAACGATACAAAACGATGCCAATACTGGTTAATTTTGAGAAGCTTAAAGGGGTTCGAAGTTCCCAACATGCCTTACTGAATGGGGGCCCAATCTCTGGTGAACATTGGCGAGTCATTGCGCATCTCAGAAGCCCAAACCAGCTTAGCCTAGTGTTTTGGGAGGTAGGGGTGGGACTTAAGGGAAAATCCATTGACATCCGTGCTCATCCAGGGGTATGATTTTGCCCTCTATCGGTTGACTAGGAGCTAAGTTTACTAGGAGAACCCTGGTAGTAATGGTTCAGGCGACGGGAGATAAATTGCAAAGCGACACACTATCGAACCCCGATCGTCCATCCGTGGATGCAATCGGCCCATTCGATCGTGCATCGTGCAGCCACAATATGCACCTACCGAGCTTCCGGTTCGATAAATGGCGGGGCGCTTAGTTATTGTGGAGAACATAACAAAGAATAGATTCAAGCGTTTTCTTTATTGGATTCCTCTAAAAAAGCAAACATTCAAATAGATACTAACCGACCAGTTCATTGAGTCCTGCCAGATCCTTGCTAATCGGCCAACCCCTCATATTGCCCTTCGTGGCCTCGCTCCTCTCTCAGAAATACTTCAATCACAGCTTTCCAAATAATTCTTTCTACATATACCAAGACCCAAACCAACCGTTATGGCACCCCGTTTGTTAAACAAGATATGCCTTATCACCGGTACAGGTGGCAGTATGGGGCGTGCAGCAGCCCTCAAATTTGCCCGAGAAGGAGCCAAAATCGTTGGCTGTGACATCAACGCCGTGAGCGACACCACAACAATCGAAGCCGTACGAGAAATAGGTGGTGAAATGATATCTATGTCCTCATGCGATCTCACGAAACGTGAAAACTGCGAGCAACTTGTGAACCTAGCTATCAAAACGTATGGGCGTATTGATGTACTGTACAACAACGCGGGAATGGCCCACATGAGCTGGCTCGATGACGGCAAGGATGAGGACTGGTACAAAACAATTGACCAGGAGTTAAGCCTTGTCTACCTGTTGACTCGTGTCGCATGGCCACACCTGAAGGAGTCCGGTGCATCCATCATCAATGTTGGATCTGCAAACGGCTGGATTGCGATTCGTCCACTGCCTGGTATCGCCCACACAGCTGCGAAAGCTGGTGTTATTTCTATGACCCGCCAGTTGGCCATGGAAGGGCGTGCGCATGGTATCCGGGCCAATTCAATCTCACCAGGCCTTATTCAGACTTTGCAAACCGCACCTTTGCTTGAGGACGCGGAGTGGGCCTCAGATGTGATGCAAAAGATCATGATTGGACGCATCGGTCAGCCAGAGGAGATTGCCGCTGTGGCTAGCTTCCTTGCTTCAGATGAAAGCTCCTATATTACTGCTGCGGATATTCGGGTCGATGGTGGAATGACAGCCTGGTAGTGAAGTGATGTACATACACGTTTGCCGAGTGGTGATTGAGATGAATGCATATAATATGGTCTCTGTCATTATGTTGGCCGTATCGGTACTTTCTGTGAGTTGGCCTGGAAGGCTTCTCCGCTGTTCGTTGCATCATCCCTATTGGGAAAGATGATTGGAATAAAGCCTATGTGTTATTACGCTGTGTATACCTAGGTAGGCGACTCTGCTTTTTAGTTTCGTGGGGCCTCTTCCAAGGTTTGGTTAGCCGAGCGGGCCGCGATCTCACTGAGAAACCTTATCACCGATATGTTCGTGTCTGTTGCCGGCCTCGGGAGGTCACCTCCCCGGCTGGGCCCGCAGTGCGTCTGATTTGTAATCCAACCACCTGGGGCCCTGCCTAGGTGGAGCTCAGTCATCGACCCTGGACAAGATACTGGCTTAACTAATTCACTGTACGCTTATGAAAGGGATGTGCATATCACAGAATTGCCTTTCTTAAGAATATACACACTTTTTGATCAAAGGCGACGTTTAATTAACCTACAAATACTGTTCTATTTCGATGTCTACACACAACGAGCTCAATACAGGTAGGGCAGGGCTTCAAGGGAGTGGACATGACTCCATTGATTAACCTTGATTTTTCAGGTCCTGAATTCCTTTTTATTCCAATAGAAAACTCAAACAACCGCACAACGAAGCGCCTAGCCCGATCGCATGCCGTAGCGTGCGGCCTCCGGAATAAAAGAAAGCTTCAGCAGAGTTCGGGCCGTAATTTCCATGTTCTATGTCCAGCAAACAATAAGAGCCAATCCGCGAGCAAAGAGAAACAAGATGGAGCTCTTATCGCACCACCAGTCCCCCTTGCTGTAGGCCTCTCCGATCCGCTCCAAATGATGGCCGCAGAGTCCCCGATACTACGGGTATTGCTAAAAGGCAAGCTCCTGGAAACCACCCAATGTCCGACAACGGCTCACAAGATACAGAAAAGTTTCAACAATTTACAGAGCCGGTATTCAGTGTTGCGGATGAACTTGTGCTTCAAAACTTCCGCTCCGTCCTTCGAAAAGGACTAGATGATAACGCTCTTCTGAGCGCCGTCATGCTCACATTTTTATTTACCGTCACAGCAGGTATGACCAGCAGGGAGTGTCTCGAATACCAAAACAAAGCTCTGAGCTCTATCCGTCAAAGAATGAGTTCTCCGGATAAGGCTGCCACGGAGTCTACAATAGGGGCTATTTTGCTACTTGCTGGTATAGAGGTTTGTCCAAGCTTTCCTTCATTTGTGCCATAAAGCTAAAGCTTTTACCATAAAGGCCCAGCTTGGTATGCCACATCAAGTCCAGCTCCATATGGGAGCAATACAACTCATTCTTGATGTATGCCAAAGAAAGCGCGTCTATTTGAGTGACGATATCAAACGTGCGATTTTCTGGTAAGTAACTCAGAGCATTTCCTGACAGCTAAGCCTTATAATGGTCGACAGGTCAGACTTAAACGGTTCGGTCGCGACAGGCTCAAGCCGAGTTGTTGACCACACAACTTTTTCCGAGCTCCAATGGAAGAGGTATACTTCCCATCCGGGCTTTTTTATTCTTCCACCTGGATTTCAAAGCCGCTCTCATTTATTAGGCCAGGATTTTGTTGAGATTCTCAAGGACGTATTTGCATTGCAATGTATTCGGGATACAGAAATCCTCGAGAAAGAGGAGGCAATGCCGATGGCACATATCGACAACCACCAAGCGTCCATCCAGTCGAGGCTAGTGAGCTTGCCAGTTTGCTCGCCTATCTCGGGATGTTGCCACCAAGCGGCGTATTTATGTTCGACTATGCTGCGCTGCAAAATATGGCGGACTTCAACCATCCCCGTAAGTAATCGCGTTGACTCCGTTTACCCCCAGTCACTCATACTGGGTATTGCTAACTCCAGCTAGTCCCACCTTTCATTACAACTGCTCTGCAAGATACAATCAGCGATCAATGATCCAATATGGTATGATTCGCTTGATTTGTTGGCTTGGCTCCTGCACATCGGAGGTGCTTTTGCTCCCGCAGGGTCTATACGTCAGGGCTATGTGCAGCTGTTGCACTTGAACCACAGCAGATTGAGGTGGCTTTATACATCATGGCCAGAACTGCTTCTCATTCTTAAGCAGTTCATATGGTCCGACAACGCATTTTTGTCCCAGGTTAAAGCCTTTTGGGAAGAAAATCCACTCTAGACTAGCCCAAGCGAGAAATTCCTTGACAGCTCCATTTGCTCAACAATTGAGCTTAAGTGGTCAAAGTGTTCAAATGTTGATTTCAAATCATATATAATTAATTTTGGGACTGATGACCGCCTTATTCTATTTGTCATTGGCCAATTATGCCTAGGTGGCGGCGATTACTTCCAGGCTGAAAGGGAGAAACTCTCCGGATGTTGTGCTCCACTAACATCATATTCCAGATGAATGATTGGCCAAATGCCAAACCTCTAACCGCAAATGGTCAAGCTCGTTAGCTTTTCCCTAATAGGAAGTATCTTTTTTCCCTTTCGAGAAGTATCTCTCTACTCTGCTCGTAAAGAGCTTCTAATATTCATCCGACGACTACGGAATGTTTTGATTTGAAAGTCGAGTACAAATACCTCGCCTGCCGTGAACCACTATGGGTCAAATATTCTTAACTCTCCCATTGAAGAATAGCTGCCTGAAGATTCTTGACAATGCCTCAATCACGCCTTTTCAAGCCCCTCAAGATTGGTGACATAGAGGTGAAACATCGCATCGGAATGGCACCACTCACTCGCTTCCGAGCAACCGAAGACCGGGTGCCAACACTTCTCATGAAGGAATACTACAGCCAACGCGCCGCAGTTCCAGGTACCTTGATCATTGCCGAGGGAACATTTATATCAGCAATCTGCGGCGGATTCCCGCACGCACCGGGGCTTTGGCGCGAGGACCAAGTCGCTGCCTGGAAGATCGTCACCGATGAAGTTCATCGCAAGGGATGTTTCATATTCTGTCAACTATTCGCCATGGGCCGTGCGGCGGATGTCGATATAGCTCGGAAAGAAGGCATCGATATCGTAGCGCCCAGTGCTATTCCCAAAGAAGAAGGCGCTGTGGTGCCCAGAGCCATGACTACCGACGAGGTCAAGCAGACAATCCAGGATTTTGTCGCTGCTTCGAAGAACGCCATTCGAGCCGGCTTTGACGGAGTCGAGATTCATGGCGCGAATGGATATTTGCTCGACCAATTCATCCAAGATGTCAGTAACAACCGTGACGATGAATACGGTGGGAATGTGGAGAATAGATCTCGCCTTCTCGACGACGTGATCAAAGCTGTTGCCCATGCCATTGGTCCTGAACGTGTCGGGCTTCGACTGAGCCCTTGGAGTACGTTCCAGGGTATGAGAATGCAGAATCCCATCCCGCAGTTCACGGATGTTATCAGCAAAGCCAGTCAGGCGGACGTTGCGTATCTTCACCTTGTGGAGTCGCGGATTTCTGGTCCCCAAGATTACGACGGCCATGACACTCTGGACTTTGCATACGATATATGGAACGGACCTTTTCTTATTGCTGGCGGGTATACATCGCATGAGGCCCGTAAGTTGGTGGATGAGAAGTATCCGGACAAGAACATCATGGTCGTCTTTGGCCGGCACTTCATTTCCAATCCGGATCTCATATTTAGGATTAAGAAGGGGTTAGAGCTGAATGCGTACAATAGAGACACATTTTATGTCTCTGAGTCGGCAGTGGGTTATTCGGATTACCCATTCAGCAAGGAGTATTTAGCAAACGGGAGAAAGGTTTAGTGTATTTGGGCTAAGTAGCTGGAGTACTTATATGCAATCCAATCAACTGCAAGAGTTTTCATTGCATGGGTTAGGCGCCAAGGGGCCGTAAATACAGAATAAATCACCTTCTGACGAAATTTTGCGATCTCTAGACTTTCTGACCCATGCAGTCTAGATAGTCGTTCAGATATGGAATCTTTTATCTCGCCGCAATACTTTTCCCTCTTGCTTTGAAGGTCTTTCCGGCCCCCAAAATCCGTCGATGTCCCAAAATAGATCAGTAAATATACCCGGAAGATAGTTATGCCGACATATTCCCCTGTATTTTGAAAGCACTTGGTGCTCTTTATGTCGTACATAGTCGCTGTATAGCAATGTCGCACCCCACACAATTCATGAGACTTGCAAGTCAGTGAAATATATTTCTTGAACTATGTCGGTGGCGCTAACTGGAACTTAGGTCCCAATGAACGCCGTACGATTAGTCGCGAAGATGTCGGCTACTACAACGCGCTCGTCATAGCCGCAGTCTATGAGATTGCGAGTGAAAATATAGATATTAATTCTGCCCAGTCATTTATTGCACCTTTGAGACACTGCATCAAGAAGTACCCATACCTAAACGTGGTCGTCAAGGACAAGCATACCGAGAAGCCAGCATACGAAGCGGTTTCTAGTATTGATCTCCACGATCATGTGTCTATAACCCACGACGATGAAGCCAGTAGCAATGACGAGATGGCAAAAATTCAAAATATTCTACCAGCCATACTTGACCGACCATGGCCTGCTGATATCCCACCTTGGCGAATCGTGGTCCTCCCTCTGGCGTCGCCGCAAGACTCCACAGTGACGCGATGCTTTATCGCCTTTGCGTTCTCCCATGCTCTCGGCGACGGCATGGTTGGAGTTGCATTCCATCGCACCTTTCTGGATGCGTGGCGCCAGACTACAGGCGTGGCGGAGAATGCCTCTTTCTTAGTGACTCCGTCAAGCCAAAAACTTCCGGCACCGTTTGACACACCCGAAAGGCTTCCCATATCTTGGAAGTTCCTCCTAGAGCCGTTGATAGCAGTTTACTTGCCAAAGTTTGTGGCCAGACTTCTTGGGATCCGCGCATCTGCCAGCACACTAGATGCCGGTACTTGGGTTGGGTCACCCATGTTCTTTGACCCCGCGGCCACCCTCCAGAGCAGAATAAGACTACTCGAGATCGAGGCTCCGCTGGTCCAAACAGCCTTGCAAACATCAAGAAACCACGGCACCAAGCTCACGGCAACGGTGCATCAGATGATTGTTCGGGCGCTGAGCAGGGCCATTCCTAACCCCGAAGTAACCAATTTTGTCTCGGGGACGCCTGTTGATATGCGAGCGTCTATCGGGACGCCGGGTCTCACATGGGGCCTTTTCGTATCTGGTCATTATGAGGTACATCCACGGGTACCAAATGTGACGGAGCCTGCTTTGTCCGAGGAGATGTGGGCAGCCGCGAGTTCGATGACAAAAAATCTTGCTACATGCGGTGCGAGGCTGCAGGACCAAGCAATTGGCCTCCTGAGATATGCCCCCAGCATCAGGAGTTGGACGTTGAGTAAAATTGGACAGCAGCGGGACTCCTCGTACGAACTGAGTAATCTGCTTGCCTTCGATAACATGGGTGATGGTGCAGATCAAAAGTGCAAGGTTGTCAAGATGGTATTCTCGCAGCCTGGTAATGTCACTAGTGCACCACTTGTTTTCAACATTATCAGTGTCAAAGGGGGTAGTTTGGTGTGCACAGTGAGTTGGCAAGCTGGAGCCTTGGGTGTGCCAGTAGAGGAGGAACTGGCATTGGTTGATGATATATGTTCATCAATTCGCTCTGACTTTGAAGCCTTGGGGAATTGATGTTACAGCTGGCCAACTGTTGGACCTTTTGTTTATATTCTTAGACTCGTATAGGATAAATGATAATAGTTGAAATTTCTGCCCCAGGATGATAGAACCTCTGCTCCTGAGGCTACGGCGACTATGACCGAAATTCTCACCTATGGCACCGTCTCGGGCCATGTGGGAGCTGTGGCAATGGTATTGGGACGGCTCTCTATAGGAATGCTTGCAATTGTCTGTATGGCGCTTTTCATGATGAAATTAACATAGTCTATAATTAGATAGCCTGATGGAGATGATTAGTCTAGGCCATCCATTTTCCACTTGCGGTTTAGCAGACTGAAGTGAACCCATTCCATCGAGATTTGAGGCATCAGAAAAAATGCTTTTATAACTAGCTCAGTACAGCCACATGGATTTATTCACTCCAGCAGATCTTCTACTAAACCTTGAACTGCACCATCCGTAGAAAGATGCCCATGAATAAGCGAAACAATGGCCTCCGAAAATCCACGTATGAACCAGCACTCATGTATTTCAGCCCATTTAACCAGAATAGCCGCCCAGTGGGCGAGCACAATAAGAGCGGCTGGACTTTGAAGTGAAACCATATGATTGAAGTGGTCTGTGGTTCTATTTAACCATGCACTTATACCTTGCCACCCCCTGATAAAACATTGGACTCGTAGACGCTGTTACAGCATTGTACCAATGTTGCAATACCGAGTAGAATAGCTGGCGCATCTTGTTCACCATCTGGTTTCCCGAATATCTCGGCCATGCGATAAGGGAGCAGCTGAAGACGGTTGAGTAGCAGAGTCGGTGCTGCGGTGGCAGCTCGCGGGCTATTCGTAGCCAAAGATGTTTGAAGATCACTGCCCGTACTCTGCTCAAATTTAAAAGAGTTTCCTAGCTGATAAGACGAAAAGTCTCGAACATCAGATAGTAAAGACTGTAGCCAAGATGTGGATGTGGCAGGACCTAGGACATTCTCTTGATTCGCAGCGAATCCAGTCAAGGTCCATCGCGCACAGCTCAAAATGCCCCTTATTTGAATTGCGGCACTTCTCATTTGCCCGAAAGCCTCGGTGGACGCAACGTTTGAACTATTGTGAATCATTTCGTTGAAGCCGACCAAGAATTTGGAACGGAGGATTGTCGCCCGTTCACGATGCTTTTGCTGTGCTGTTTTTTCATCCTTGAGCACAGCTGAATGGTATGCAGAAATGGCCAGCAATCCACACATCAGCCACCGTTGTTGTAGACCCAACGAAACAATATACGTCCCCCAATATTGTGACGCTGTTGGGGAATCCTCGACTCGAGGAAGTGTCAAACACGTTGTAATGATAAAATGATGGAAGTAGGCCAATGTCTCCAGGTCCACCACGGGAGAAAGCTCAGAAAGTGACATCGGTTGTGCTGCTGACGGCACTTCATTCACACCGGAGTTCTGCCTGCCATCCCCACCCCCTTCATCCGAACCCTGTGACTCCGCAGCTCTTGCCATCGAGACCTCGAAATACTTGAGTTTGGTACCACGAAAGAATGTTTGAAGCTTCACTGAGCGCGCGTGAGAAGCAAAATCATCCGGCCCACTAACATTATGGACATCACTCCAGTGGCGTCTCATCCGTTTAGAGCTTGCGCAGAGATGCCCACACCCGGTCATGGTACAGGAGTACCCAGACACTACGGGCAGGGCATGAACCGGTGATGTACTTGGGCTAGGCAGTGAAAGATCACCCGGCTCAACGATGTCGAGTTGATGGATGGTGGACAGTAAACTAAGCCTTTCTTCTCGGTAAATTTTGTGGCGTAGTAAATGGCTCCCCAATGCATTTTTCTGAATGGCGTACTGGCAATCTCGGCAGATTAGCACTTTGTATTTCGAATTATACTCGAGTAGATCTCGTGGACCGAGCCGCATATTAGCTAACAACCCTTTTTCTGGGGTGGAGGCTGGGATAAGCGCTGGAAGATAACGCGGGGCCGAAAGGCCGGATGTACTGCCGTTTACGTATTCAGAGTTCGTCCTTGGGGTTCTATTAATAGAAACATTTCTTGATCGAATTGAATAATTTGTTAATCGGTGAATCGGTGAGGGTCTACATAGAAATGGATCACTAAACAGTTGTTTCCATTGAGTGTATTCAAGTCTATCTGTTCTGTTCGGCATTAAGTCCGAGATCGGAGTTAAGGGTGGAACGGCATATATGATTCTCGATCGGAACGGCATATGCGGTTCTGACATTTTTTATACTTGGTAATATTTACTACTTACTTGCTTTGAAATAATGATGCTAATTTGAAATCACTTCAAATGTGCGAAACTACTTATATTTTGGCATGTTCTGGTCAAATCTGCTTTTTACATCACCTTCATCGCCTTTCTTATAAGACCCAATTCTTCTATTGAAATGTCCACCCCCAAGAACCTAGCTGCATGGCTCATCAAAGCTGGCTCGCCCCTACAGGTGGGAGATGCTCCGCTGCCCACAGCTGGTCCGGGGAGAACTCGTCGTTAAAAACGCCGCAATTGCTATCAACCCACTCGATTGTCATATGCAGGACTCTGGTGTCTTTGTGCAACAATGGCCCGCCATCTTCGGTTGCGATATTGCCGGTGAGGTGTACGAAGTGGGAAATGATGTTGAACGCTTCAAGACAGGAAATCGTGTAATTGGGTATGTTATTTGACAGCATATCGAGATCAAACCATTCTAACATAATTTAACCTCTCTTCAATAGACATGCTATCAATCTGACTAGTGGGCGCCCCCAGGATGGCGCATTTGCTCTTTACACAGTAATTCCTGCAAACAAAGCGGCCATACTCCCCGATGAAATATCCTTTACGGATGGTGTTGTGGTCCCATTTGCATTGGAGGCGGCTGTCTGCGTGCTTTCTCTCAAGGAGCCCGGTGTAGCCATGCCTGGTGTAGCTACACCGGCACTGCGCCTTCCATACCCCTCGCTGCAGGACGTACCATCGTCTGGCAAAACGCTTGTTATATATGGTGGCTCATCCTCTGTTGGCTCCATGACGACCCAGCTTGCCAAAGCGGCCGGACTACACGTCATCGCGATTGCCGGAGCACACAATTTGGAATCCAGCAAGCGATGCGGTGCAGCTCAAGTATTTGATCGGAATGACACTTCACTTCCCGACAAGGTTATCGAAGCAGTTAGAGCGAGTGGTGGCGAGTTCGTTGGAATATTTGATGCTATAGCTACCCCCGAGACTTACGCTCACGACATCACCATTCTTTCTCAGCTGGGTGGAGGACACCTTGCTTGCGTGCACCCGCCTCCTCCTGCTACCGATCTCCCCACTGGTATCAATGCCGGTATGATCTTTGCCGTCAACGATGTTGCGACGCCTGTCTGGGAGAAATATGTTACGCCTGCCTTGAAGTCTGGAAAGCTCCAGTGCTTTCCGCCCCCGCTTGTCGTCGGCAAAGGCTTAGAGCATATACAATCTACGTTAGAAAAATCCAAGGCAGGAGTCAGTGCCACAAAGCTAGTGGTGGAGCTGTAACTAGTGCCCTTTCCCTTCCTAGTCCGCAAATTGCTGTTCTTGGCAGGCTGGGCGAAATATGTCCATATGGTTCCATTGTTCACGAAGGAGCGATTTGACAGTCCTTTCGGCCATATTTATGTTAATTGCTACAAGCATTAGTTTGAAAACTCTGGTCAAGACATAGCAATCCGTATCTGTCCTAAAACAAGTTTCTAAAATTTTGACACGCCCTCAATACCACCCAGTCCACCTTTTCTGACTCCATACGGATGGTCCGAGAACCAACCCTGTGCGAGACCTCGGCCAATGAATTGGAAGAAAGCCGCCGCGAATTTCTTCTCACCAGGGGATGATAGAAAGCAAACCCAACTTCTGAGTTTGATTATGAAAATTATGAAATAGACATTTAATATCTCACCTGTAAACATGCACCTTCTTGATAAACGTTCCATCTTGTCCTCCCGTAGCACCATTGCGGATGACGCTAAGGAAATCTCGCGTGCCACCCAGGGCGCTGTCATCTAGGACGATGAGGTCATAACTAACTTTGGTGTGTTTTTCTCGCTGGTCAAAGTGGATGGTTGCCGCGTATACGCAGGAGGCAGGCACAGGGCCTAAGAAAGAACCTGAGACTTTTTCAACCATTCATGCGCCTCCTCATAAATCCCCTGCGCAACCTCCTCCCTCTTCTTCCTACCAATACCACCCTTCGTCCCTGGCGATGCATGGGTAAAACCATGTGGACAACCCCTCGCCAACGTCCACTTATACCTACCCACCTCAAAGTCCTCCTCCTGCTCAACCCCAATTCTATCCTCTAACCCAGCCAACCCATGAATCATCTGCTGCGCTTCTAACCGGAGCATATCCCACTGGGCGCCAATCATATAAATCCACGGTGGTAGCTCATCACTCCCCGCATACACCGGACTGAGCAATGGGTCCCTCCGATTCTGGCCTACACTCACATACCCCCAGTCCAGCCACCAGGAGGTCTTTTCCAGCGTATCATCCGGACCACCTTTGTACGGTCTCGAATCCAGTTTCTCATTGGGCGGGTGACCAAAATCCACGATGGGGTAGTATATCACCGCTGCTTTGATCAGGCCTTTTAGACCGGGGAATTGCGAGACAGACATCGCGAGGTTGCCGCCTGCGCTGAATCCGCCAATGGCGATGCGCGAGTGGTCAATTGGGAGGGAGTCATCTGCTAGCACGCACTTGGCTACTTCGGCAATGTCAAAGCTGGCTGTTGGGAAGGAGTGGAGCGGTGCCTTGCGGTAGTTGAGGCTGATCACTAACATTCCTGTGCGGTTGGCCCAGGCGCTGCAGAAGGAATCGTCGACGGTGGCATCGCAAAGTGCGAAACCACCGCCGTGGATGTTGAGGTAGAGTGGGAGCAGTTGGCGCTGGGCAGAGTTATAAGAGCGTGGGTAGAAGATGCGGGTTTCTAGGGTTGAGCGGCAGGTGTAGCGCTTGGTGAGGGTTGGTTGGGTACCTGGTTGAGGGGGTTGAAGAGGCGGAGGTAGAGGAAGTAGAGGGCAGCAAGGGATTTGAGCAGCCAGAGTTGGAGGAAACAGTTGAGGCGGTGGGGGAGGGATAGTCGCTCTTTAGGGAGAGGAGGGATGGGGTTTTCCATCGGTATTTTGTCCTTGTCTGGATTCTTCATCATTGTTGGTGATGAAAGGAAGAATCGAGATGCTAGAGGAGCAGGATCAGTCGGGCGAGGGCTGTCATGGATGGATGAATCTGTTGGGATGTAGCGAGGGTGACTAGTACGCGTTTGTGATAACATCGGCCGTACCCGTGGTCTAATCACTCTGTTGGGCTCGAGTTCTTCATTTTATGGACCCTAGCCCTTCTGCCACCGGTCTCGACTCAGCCTCGCGAAAAAGGAAAATAGAATCGTCTCTTACTTCCCCTCCCATTGCATACAGCAGAAATTAATGTGTTGAAAATGAGGTTTGGCCACAAAATTGATGACTTGTCAACCAGATCCGATGGCCAGGTGGGATGTCAGCAATTAGCTCGGCCCCGGGGCGATGCCCACGAGAGTCGTCCCGAACCGTCCAGGCCGAAGTGGGCTGCAACCATGGTCCATCAAAGAACTCTAGACGTTGGTAAAAGAAATGTCTGTGTTGTAAGTCGAATAAATTGACATCGTTGGATTCCAAATTAGAGGCAAGGTCACCGGCTGGATTCCCTTTTCTCCATGCTGTTAGCAGCGACTTGGCGAGTGGGTAGGTAGTACCTAGGTATATGCTAGGCTTCCGTAAAGCCTAACTTTAGGCCTAAGGTCCGGGCTTGTTAGGCCCCCTCCCTTTTGAGCTCTAGGCCTAAGTATAAAAACCGAAGCCCGCTATAGGCTTTGATCTTAGGCTCGAAACCCGACCCTTTTAAGGGGTCGGGTCGGGTTAAGGGGGTTTCGAGCTTTACAGAAGTCTAGTTTATATACTAATACCGGCAATACAATTGAAATTTATTCATGATACGAACTAGTGACCTGACCTTTGTCATCACAAGACATTATTAGTAAGATGGTGACCCGACCTATGGTCACGTGATCGATAGACACGTGGCATAAGCTTATCTTATCTCGACCCGTCCGCGGTCCATATCAAAAAACTCCCGTCTGAGTGTCAATGGAACATGAAGAAACTAAAATTCAATATAAGGATTCCCATTCGAAAAATTGGTTCTGTAGTGTAGTGGTCTAGCACTCTGGTTTTTGAAACCATCCGATTTGAAAGTTACCAGCGACCCCGGTTCGAACCCGGGCAGGACCTCTTTTTTGATTCCACAGTCATGACGACTAGTATAATACCATAAGATAAGTTTTTCTTCATCAAAATAAAGGATACGATAGATCCTGGCCAAGAATGAAAGGAGTTTGCTTCTACAATGTTGCAGGGCTGCCCCGGCAATAAATAAATACATCAAAAAGTGTCCAACTTGCCTTGAAAACCAGATGCCAAGACACAGACCATAAGGTCTATGGGTTGCAACCCATCAGACACTGTCCATTCCATACCACATATTTACCGTAGGCTTCATCGTGGGGCTACCGCTCACTGCTAAAGGATTCGATACCCTTCTGGCCATGACCGAGAAAGATCTACATCGTAGATAGTATAGGCTGTTAGCGGCAGTAAGCTTCTAATTATAAGAAAATCATCTAAATGACAGACCTTTAAAACACCGCTTAACAGGAATGCCGGGATTTCATGATGACCCTATCCTTTCAGGTCCCTCGAGATCTGTTTTACTCCTAACACTGCCTGGTTTGAAGACATACTAACTTGTCCACTATGCTAGCCATTGTTAAAACTAACATCCAACCAAAGGTCATTTGCCGTTTATGCTCGAGAGAATACGAAGTGTTCTTCTCCGCTAGAAAGTTACTCACAATTTTTCGACAGTGTAGATATATAGATAATTCCTTCTTCCTGTTTGTTTGCGTCCCGTATAATAGTACTATAGGATCAATTGATACATATTGCTCGTACCTGACCATAAATAAGTCTTATACTAGTGGTCATGACTGTGGAATAAAAAAAAAGGTCCTACCCGGGTTCGAACCGGGGTTACTGGTAAATTTCAGATCAAATCATTTCAAAAACCAGTGTCATAACCACTAAACCATAAGACCTAATCTGTATAAGGGCCCGATTGTTTGATATTTTCATCTTCCATCAACCCTGGTTCGATCCTGAGGGAAACTGGAGACACGACAGGTTGTGGTCGGAGCTGAACTAACCAGGAGAACCAGGAGAGATAAGATAATAACATGCCACGTGATTTCAGGGTCAGCTCGGGTCAGCTGACCTCGGGAACTGCAACCTGGGAAGTCGCGGAATAAGGCAGAAATTAGCCAGGCGACCAAGTCACAACTCCGTACTACGTACCTGCCCGTGGTTCTTACCCTTACAAATTATGGCGTATGTCACTTTTTAATTTTACTAACAAGAATAGTCGGCCGCTTATACTGCCTTTTTATGTCTGTTTGGAGGTCTTCTTAGGGGGTCCTTTCGGTGGTCATTTCGAGTGGTACTTTTAGATGTTGTCGAACTACGAACTACGTAGGAATATGACCTAGTGGAAAAGTGGCTGTATTTTCGTTTCACGGATTCATAGATGTCAGTTTAGATGTCTAGGTACGAAGGTGGGAAAAACACCATACTTTGTGGAGGAGACTTTTCTATGTATATATAACCTTTGATCATACTAACTCCAACGCATTTAATTTCCGTACATTTCGTACTGCAAACTGTGGCTTGACTCGTGCGGATGGCCTCGCTCAGTCCTTTGATTATGATAGAGGTATTCACTACTACTACTTCTCTCTTTGACATCCGCAGCTTGATCGCGGCTCACCTATGCCTGATTTGTTATATTTCAAATCTGAGACACCTAATTCGACTCCTTCCACGTACCAAGCTTATTAAAAGCATACCTTCAATATTGGTTCGAAGAAATCCTAGAATGCCAATCCTATCGGGGATGGCGACTCACTGTATCTTGCATCTCCTAACAATTCCGAGCAGGTCTCATCTGGGACAGTCGGCTCCCAATGATTCTTAGGATTCACATTCACATGCTGGTTGACGGCAGCCTGGGAAAAAAAGGTGCGAATGAATGTCTCGCATTCTACCACATTGATTTCAGAGCTAAATTCACCAGATCGCACCATGTCATTCCCACTCACCAAGCTGGTGGGAGGAGGTAGCCTAGGAGTCTCTCACCTCTATCCCATGTCGAATAAAGCCCTTCCTGCTCTTACTTACTCAATCCCTATGAGTAGCTCGGTGCTCTGCGCTACCTCTACATTGAGTCATTTCAGTAAGGGAGAGAAGCCACCAAATATGGTTTCTTTTTTATTTGTTAGGAGGAAGAAGTAAGCTACATTGAGGTGAGATATTATGGTTTGTTTCTAGTTCGGAAATGTAATAACAGAATTCAGTGGCACGAGAGGCAGCCAATCAATTAATCAATCAATCAAAGTTCAATTAATTTGTTGCAGACTAACTAGTTGTGTATGACTATGCAGGCGCTTCATCCAACTGAAGCAAGAACTCGAAGCCAAACGCTGAGTAGGATCTCTCCCAGAGTATACAGGTGCTAATTGTAAAGAGTGTGGAATCAGTCCATTCTTGTAACCCATCCAACCCATACATAAAAAAATTAACACATAACGATTGTTGTCGAGTGCGCCCCCACCTTCCATCTCTCACTTCTCTCACCAGCTGACTTGAGCAATTAGGTTTGATCTACGGAGTATTTTAATAGGGGAAAGATTGACGAAATCGGTAGCCCGAGGGTACCTAGGATGATATGATTTGTTTTTTTAAAAAAATGAGAGATAAAAATACATGAGAGCTTATACAAATTCAAACAAAGGTCGGTCCGTGATTGTATCCTTTCCCCCCCCTCACTGCGACTTCGCCGGGGACGGCGAAGCCAGTAGTGGCACTTGCAAATATGTAGGGGAGGGAGGGAGAGGTGCCATCTCCACACCTTCATCGGCGACGGAGTTGTTGGTAGCGAGGGGCCTGAGGGTGTATTGGGAGGCCCTGTTGAGTTAGCTCGCGCAGGTTGGAATCATGCGCGAGAATCATGTCGGAGGCCCGGGAAGATTGTCGTAAGGGAGAAAGCAAAGGAAGAATGACCTATTTGTAACTAGCAATCCGGGGTTTATATACGGTAAAACCATCCGAGCAACACTCAGTCTGTAGCAAGCATACATGGGATGCCCCCATAAATTTGTACTTTGCATACCAATAAGAATAATCGCTTATGCGGCATTCTGATGTCTTTTCAGTGTTCTTTTCAAGTGTATACAAAAGCTCCTTTCGGTAATCATTTCAAATGGTCTTTTTAGATGTCTGTTTAGGTGTTTACGAAGCTGGTAGAAAAGCGCACTTTACGTATGAGGCTTTTCCATGTAAAACCTTGAATCATTCTGCTTTTACTTTGCTTTTATTCTTTGCTAGTCTCGCATTCTGCCTTAATTCTTCAGCCTGCACGTATGACGTGGGTCGCGCCTTCCGATGAAATTTGACAACCTTCCAAGGTTGGTATTCAGCTATTAAAACGTAATGACCTGGGCAAGTGATCTCTCTCATCTCTCTCTTTCTTTCATCTCTCTCTTGTCTCTTTCCCATGTCTCTCCCCCCCGAGCAACCACAATGCCTTCCAAATAAAAGGGCCAGAAAAAAAATGGAGAAGCTGTAAGTCAAGATCTCAAACATCTCTACCTGATCTGTCTTGTGATGCATCCAATGATGACATGGACCATCCACTTCGTGATGGGCTTCATCTCGTCCCATCCCATCTCATCCTGTCTGATCGATTCCTATCATGTTTGGTCAATTCCCATTCTATCGATGTATACTATGTCTACTCGCCTTTTGTTGATTTCTATCAATTCTTTTGGAAACTTGGATCGATAAGTCATCACTTGTTATATTATGAATACGCTAATCGAATGGACAGCAATGCAGAGAGGAGGCCCGCCGTGAAGAATACCTAGAATTTATGGCGAAGGGACTGAACAAGGCGCTTGATTTAGATCGCCGTCGGTCCGCATCTCCGCGGGACCGTCAAGATCCCCCCCACGAGAGATCACCGCGCCACCCCCCTCAAGAAGAGCCCCGATACCCCCCTACTACCAACAGGCGCCCGGTCGAGGTACCTCCCGGGTTGCTACCTCCTACGGACCCCGTGGACAAGAATTTCGGGGTCCGGAATACCAAAAATGGCCCGGTGGACAATCCTCACGGGCCCCCGGCCGACATGATTCCCGCGCGGCCGAGCTCACTCAACGGGGCCTGCCCCTTAATACACCCTCAGGCCCCTCCCGCCGTGGACTCGATACGTCACGGTGGAACACTCAAGCCCCTCCTAGGAGCAGGCGGGCCGTAAGGCTCGCTCCAGCAATGGCAGCGCCCGTAAGGGCCTGCCCTCCAATGTCAAAACCCCCGCCGCCGCTGATGAGGATGTGGAGGTGGCACCTCTCCCTCCCTGCCGTACATATTTGCAAGTGCCACAGCGTTGGAAAAAATGAATACCATGAAGGACCTTGTTTTTGTTTGTTTTGTTTGTATATATTTTTTCGTTATTTCTTCAAATTATATTATCAAAGGTGCCCTCGGGCTACCAGTTTCCTCATTTTCCCTCCTCTTAGAATAGATAAAACCTAATTGCTCAAGTCAGTTGTTTTATACTAGCTATTCGCGGAATATAACATCGAGTAGGAATGGTATTTCTCGATCTGGTTGGTGAATTTGACTCTTGAAATCACCATATACCAAGCGGCATACCGGCGTTGACTAGACTGTTATCTGATGAAGACAGGCCCAGGTCAACGGGCAGGTTACCGGGCAGGTTTGCATCACCGATAAGCGACTGATCAAGACTAAATAGCATGCCTCCAATGGGGTGGAAGACGACGATGCTATAGGTGAAGGTAGCAGGGTTGGACGGGGTCATCTCAACGCGAGATTTGAATGTTAGACCTTTTGGTCTGCCATGTCGTCCATATTCAAGGCAATGGCTTCCTTGTCTTTGCTATACTTGCTTTGGGGCGCCTCGGGATCTTTGAGGTTGGCCATGGAGAATAAGGCCTCCTTCACGGGAGATTGTTTATATGAGGGGTCTACTAAAATATATGAAGTATGATAATGGAATTATACTGTCACTTAAAGTTCTCCTGGCGCGGGGACTAGGATTTATAGGGAATGAATAGAAAGCATGGAACAAGTGAGGACACCAACTAGCAGGCCTAGGGGGAGAAAGGCAGGGGTCATTTGAGGTCCACCAGCCCTCTGGATGTCCCGCATGCCCAGGTGGCATGGTATACTTAATCACCCCCCCCCCCCACCGGGCCATTTTTGGTAATATGAGCCCCGGAATTCTTGTCCACGAGGTAAGCAGGAGGGAGCAGCCCGGGAGTCTCCTCGTCTGGGGTGGGGACTGGAGGGGGAGCGCCAGGACTCTACTTGGAGGTGTGAAGGTCGCGATCTCTCATAAGGCTGCCGAAAGAATCGAGGCGATTACGAGACGGGGTAAAACGTATCGCTACCTAGGTAAGCGGATGATCTATGTCATCATTGGTTGCGTTATGAGACATACCAGGTAGAGATACAGCAGATCTTGACTTACAGCTTCACCTTCTTCTTCTTCTTCTTCTTCTTTCTTTCTTTCGCCTTTTTTTGTTTTATTTTTTGCGTGCTCTTGCGAATCTGGATGAGGGGAAAGAGAAAAAAAATATTGTTTACTTTCACAGCGGAAGCATTTTCATCTGCGGTCACATACTCAGGTCACTACAATTTAATATCTTGATCATTGTCAGATTTCCTAATCTATGTAACTTAGCTTCTTCAACAACTCAATCAATATCTCACACTGCATCATGCGCTTCAACGTGCACCTAGTAGTACTCTTAACAATCATCCACAAACCCCAGTTCAAACCTGGGTAGGACCTTTTCTTTTTTGTTCCGCAGTCGTAAGACCAAGTGATGGTGTCGTTGTGACCTTTCGCTTACTATGTAAAATTTAGAGTATCACGATCTCACAGTCGCACAGAGGAATAGTAAATGGTATCATTGAACGAAGCTATCAAAGATGGATGATAGTGGCCATACATATCCTCCCGTGGTCTCGTGAAGATGTTTAATTCGACCCGGCCAAAGAAATTTTGGCATGTTTCAGATATTCAAACCTTTCTCGGTACGTCCTGGGCTTTTTCTTGGGGTCTCCGTTTGGCTCGAGGTCGAAGATTATGCCAGGGAGCTTAGGGTAACCAGCCAAGTCGCAGCGTGCATCCAAAAAGCCCTGGTAGATTTTCCGTAAGCTGGTTAAGGAAACCATGCCAATGTTCTTGTCCACGGGCTCGAAGTAGTGATCTTTTCCCCTTCCATCACAATCACATTTGAGCCGAGGTTGAACGAGGCGAGCGGGTGAGTGAATCGTCCACTCCGGTGTGTCGTAGTCTCTTTCACGCCCGCATTCTATTTTTTGGTGACTTTGACCTTGACCTCTGCAGCGCACACGAACAGTCTCGGCACAACCCTCCAAGTCCTTTCCCGTGCGGCATAGGGGTGCCTTCCAATTTGCCTTACGGCGCGTAGTCTGGGCAATGGCTCTCGTTTCCATACGGGTGTGGTCCTGCGCCATGTGGTTAACAGGAATGAGACCTGGCTTTCCTTTGCAGCCATTCTGCCCACAGCCATTGCCACCTTTTTGAGCACTTCGAACAACTTCAATCAGATAGCAATCTGGCAATTCTGCAACAAAGAAAGGGAAAGCGTCGTCCAGAACGGGCCTCTGGCAACCCTTGCATTTTAGATGAATTACTTTGCCAGGCTCTCCTGGGATCGCTTTGATCTGTTTGAATCCTGATTTGTGGGCTCGGGTAAGCTTCTGGATGTACATGATTCCGATCATGCGGGCGAGATATGCAGTCGAAAATTGATTGAGGTTCGATATACGGCCTTTGTCAAGAAGAGAAAATGCCAATTCCAGTGTCTCTCGGTTTGTTATTGGCACACCGTGGACCTTAAGGCCATCCTGGGACTGGAGCCATAGTCGGAGTGTAGTCGGAATATCCCCGAAGTCGAAAATCTCGGAGAAGACGTAATCATCGCTCTCCTCGTGGAAAGGATCCATGTCTTCGATAACTTTGTGAAAAGATGCAATGATAGAGCACAATTCGCTATTTTTCGCATTCAGACGAAATATCTATTGATTGGTTAGACCAAAGCTTTGAAGCTCGGGGAACACTACTTGCCTGTTCTTGTTCGGAAATGGGGCCATTCGGGTGTGTATGCATAGGCACTACAGATCCAGAGAGAATATTTTTGAGTCCTTCAAGTATGTTCTTTTCTTCCTCTCTGTGATACTGCCTGAGCTCGAACTCCTTGAACCTTTTCGGAAATGCTACCCGGAAGGCGTCTAGAGCCTCTCGTAAATGACCCTGCCTTTTTAAGTCCTGCTTGGCACTCAGCCGAGAGTATTTACCTCGGACGAAATGAACTTCAAAAAAGTTAGGCTTGATTTTGATTTCATGTTGTAGCCCTGCAAGCTGGGTAGCCATCAAAACCGCTAAATCCTGTGATCTCCCATAAGTCTCAAAAAAGTCGGAACTAGTCTTATCGAAACGTCCGGGCCTGGAGAAAAACTGCGGGTGATAGGCTTGAATGATGAACCTTTTCATAGAACTCGGATTCAAATCGCCAAGTTCAAGCCAAAGTCTGACAGACTCAAACATTCCCCACAAAGGAAAACGGACAAGACGAGTAGTTTTGCGTATCTCTTTGAAAACTTCTTCTCCAAAGCAGATTTCCACAGCCGCCGACATATTTCCCCGAACCTTTTGAATAAAGCGACGATGGGGGAAGCGTAGATCCTCAGTGTAAAAAAGAAGACAATCATCGGTTCGTTCTCGACGACAAATTTCATCAAACATAAAGCAGTGGTCAGATGATAGACCACAGTCATGTAACAAGCTGATTGTCGGATTTGTGAGATCGTCGGTCACCGTACTTTGTGAATCTGCAACGAAGAAGGTTGGGTTGAAAAGATGGATCGCAAGAGGAGACTTGATGGAGCCGCTAGGCTGTACGAAATGAGGTGTTCGGTCTACCCCCAGACTCTTCCAGACCAAAGTATCTTGTTCAACTAGTTCCTCAAACGCGGTGGCAAAGTCCCATGGCTCCTTCACGCCTACATGTTCGTCAGTTTGTTATCGATGAATGAGGTTATCGAGAAATAAGAGCACATACGAGTCTTGAGCGATGCATCAAATGCTCTCAAGAGTGGTAGATATTGTGATATCTTATCAAACTCTTCCTTGGTTGGAGCCTCGATCGAACAATTCCCAAATAAGAGAAAATCCAGTTGGGAACCCATGGTAGCAACGTTGGAAAGCTACTAGGTCGCGAGCAAATATCAAGGGATTCACAATAAGACACCAGAAATATCTCAGGGAAGAAGTGGATGAGAAGGACCGAAGGAAAACAAAAGCAAAGTCTTGAGAGAATAAAGAATGAGAACTGGGAGCCATAAGAAGACAGAAGAAAAAAAGAAATTCGGCGAGTAGGTGAAAAGAGTAGGAGATATCAAACACTCTTGGAAGTAACGCTCAAACATGCGACGCAACTGAAATTAGGCTAACCGAAACTAGCTCAAGGTCTCGTCTAAGTGAATAATTACATAAAATAGTATCAAACGAGGTACGGTCCTCGTTTTTAAATGATATAGAGTTCGTTACTATCCGATAGGAATGGCAATCTCGACCGGACCCAATGTCATAGCTAGCAAGTATTCGAAGAGAAAAGTCTTTAGGATGAACTATATCATATACTTACGCCGACCAGAAGTTCGTACTAAACCTAAATATATAGGTTGCGGTATCTAATTGCATATCAAGACATCGAGTCATCGCTACATTACATCGTCTTCGACGAAACATAAGCCATACAAAACCTATTACTCACCATCCAATCTTACAGAGATGACAAAGAGGCACTGCCAGCCTGATTATATGTTCATGGGAAAACACCTTTCTAAGATGGAAGCGCGACAAATGCCGAATAGCTGTATGCTTCAAGTTCCGCTTAATAATAACAGCAGTAGGAAACGAGAAAAGCTCAGAGATCTCCTCGGGGGATTCATTCTTAGCCTCAGGCATGGAGATCAGGTCGATTAGAAGGAGAAGAATGAATATGAGATCTCACTGGAAGGCGAAAAAAGGGCTAAATCTGGAATATACAGTGTAAAACAGGTGTTCAGCTGGAACTAGGGATTGGAAAATGGAGAGATAGGGAATTTAACTCTTCGTGATTTTGGACGAATCATTTGCTATCAAAGCTGATGTCGTCTATTCTAGGGAAGACAACAGCCAATCTATGGAATTGGCCATTAGGCATGGTAGACGAGTAATGCTTTCAAATATGGTTAGCATTAACTAGTACTTCTGGAATTTTTCCGGCTTACCGTTGTGTTGGCACATATCACAATATACCCGGACAGAGTGAATCTCGGGAAGAAAACACTCCCGATACTCAAAGCCGAATATATCACTTGCTGAACGAAAAAATAATATCATGTCACATGGGTGATATCCCGGACATAATCTGGCACCAGAAAGACACTAGGACTCGGTATGCAACTGGGTTGAGGCCCCCGAGGAGAGGACTGCTATATATCGACGATCTTAGGGAGAATAGTGGAATTCAATTAAGCATTAACTCTGGGCTTGGGCCCATCAACTGTTTTGACTTGGCCAATGACTGAAACCCAACTTCTAAGATGCTTATGCTCCACTCCCCTGCCGTACAGATCACGGCCCCGTCCGGGGTTGGTAAAATGCGGGATATTCCCTAGTGCAAGCCGAGATAGTCATTCGTTGGCTGTTACTTTGCTGCCGCTAAGCAATTGTGGGTAGCCCATCGCATACCTTGGCGCATTAGGCGATAGGGTGATCTCTATGTACCCCATGGGCAGTACCTAAGTCCTACAACGAGTTGGCTCCCTCGCATACAAGTTCGATCTCCCGAGTTCTTGGAAAATCCACCCGGTCATCAGCGTTGAACACCTAGAGCCGGATCCCCCAGGTAGAGATTCTTGGAAAAGAACCCCCGAGCCAGCCCAGCTACCGGAAATAAGGCCCCAGGCGATCCAAGCAGTCATTAGCAAGCGGACTCGGAACGTGGGACGCCCAAGATCAGACGGAACTAGAGCTCAGAGAACTGAATACCTCCTCAGATTCGTGGGGCGTGGAGCCGCCAACGGTCAATAGATCTCGGCTTCAAACCCTGGCTACTCTAGCTGATTTGAACAATACCAGCGAGGCAGCGACAACTAAATCCCAATTCAAAGCACCAATCATCTTTATGCGACATATTTAAATACTATTCTTACACAATCAAACAAACTTCCTAGGTAACGAGCAAATAACTCTCACTTCAAGTTCACTTAACCTTTATTTATACACCTTCTAGGAACTATTTAAAACCCCGGTTTTTTTCTTCCCAACTTTCACAATCTTCTGCAATTCGACACTCGACTCTGCAATTCACATTCTTCTTTATACAACTCTCTTCAAATCACTTGAACGCCCCAACTGCACTACAACATGCCTGCCAAACGCAAGGATTTACTGTCCGACGACGACAGCAAGACGGTCAAGAGGACGAGGCCAGCCTCCAAGACGCACGCAAAACAATTGATGGACCCCATGACTGAAACCGACATGGTTCGTGCAACCACAGACGAAGACAAATACTAGGTAAGACTGAGTCAGGAATTTAGCCAAATATACCCCGGAGACGTGCCAGGAAAATTCAAATCAGCAATTCTCTACGAATTCTCGAACGTGCTGCAATATCATGCTATAACGTATTCGGTACTCTGGAATCAGCTGACGACCATTAAATGGAATTTGTCCTTTAAGATATATGTACTTGGTAAACATTGGACATGAAATAACTCCCGACGCCATGCTCTCCACCATGCAATGTAAGCTTCCACACTCTCACCGTCTTCCAGGCATTCCAACAGGCTTTCGGATACTAGGGTCAACATTGGGACTAGGAGACCGTCCTCCCTGTAACCTGGCTCGCAGTCGGTCCTGGGCTGAACCACCACCCGATCCAACGCGGTCGAGATTCGGACGAGTCTGGGCAGACTGACTCGAGCCAGCTCGCTGGCTGGGCAATGGCCGTGCTCCAGATGGACTAGGGGAGCCCGATCCAGCAGGCGAATGGGACTGAGAAATTGTGAAGGCCGGACCCGGCGGCGCGCTGTTGGCCGAAGCGAGTGGTGGTGCTGTGCCACCACGTCCGCGACGAAGACTGGCTGTCTGCGGGATCGATCCTTGGGATGAGGGAGAATCACCCCATAGATCACCTAGACCGCCGCCCCGGCCGGAGTTGGGGTTGGCGGGGCCTTGGTTGTAGCCGCCGGAGGGTAGTTGTGACGTCGCAATTGGGCGGGAAGGGGCCGGAGCTGGGCCCTTTGGATCTTGTGGGAGCCATGGTGGGAATGGACGGCCCTTTTCGGTGTAGTAGGCGCGAAGGGCGTTGGAGATGTGGGAGCAGTCTTCATTGTCGGGGTCGTCTCCCTCGTCGCCTAGGGTAATGGCACGGCGAAGGTTGGTGAGCCGTGAGCCCAGGCCAGAAATGGCCGAAGAGGTAGTCAGGGATGAGAAGTACGAGCTCATCTTGTGGCAGCTGAGTAGTATGGTTGAGTAATGCGCGGTCTGCAAGATCGTAGCTTCGATGCGGGGTGGGATGGGCGCGGAGTTGGAGATTTACTCGCAGGGACCCAATGCAAGAGATTCAGGGGTCAAAGAGTTGGGGAAGAGATCACAATAATTGAAACAGATTATTAAGGGGGATATTAACAGAAGAACCGGCTCCTGGGGTGAGGTGAAGTTGTTCAAAGGAAAATGGAGAGCAATGATAGCGGCATTCATTGAGCCACGTGATCACGTGTTTCACCTAAATAAAGCACCAGGTCAGGTCTTGTCTCAAATAAATTATGTTAAGATATCTCAGGAATAAAAGAGATATCGAGCGGTACAATTAAAGATAAACATTGAAATAGACATTGGAAGATCCAGGATCGTGAGTTGTAGTGGATGCGATATAGCAGGGTATGATGCC